TATATATATATATATATATATATATATATATATATATATATATATATATGTGTGCGTACAAACACACACACACTAACAGAGTAGTGTGACTTCCTCTCCGTCATCTCTTCAACATAAATCACACACTGGCATCACATCTCTAACATCTTGCGTGTCCTGCTGTATCCAGATTAAATGAGAAATCGTTTCTTTTGTAAATCACCTCTAGGTTGACTTCAAACATCACATGCGTCCTGCCTCCCCTCCCTCTTCCTTCCAGATCCTCCAGCAAACACAATCAGCCACATTCAGCCTCCACAATGAGGCTTTATGCCTGTTTGGTGGCGACGCTGTTTTCCAGAAGTTTTGTGAGGCCTCGTTGTTTTCTCCACACCAGACGCCCCCGAAATGTCACAAATTAAATTAAATAAAGTTGCTGGGGAAAAGCCGTTTCACACCGAGCACGACTTTTCGTAAGAAACGGTCTAGTTTTCATAAAATACTCACATGCCCACAGCGCCTCTGCTACATACATGCGACTCACTTGCTATAGTACGGCAACAAGTGCCAGAGGGGCAACAGAACAGCTGGACATGGTAGCGCTGCCTTGACAAATTTGGAAACAATGGCCCCAAAAAGGCAACAAATGGAGAGACAAATGAAGAAACTGTGGGAGGACTTGTGCATCTCTTACAGGTATGTTTAAAAATATCAATTATTTCAGGCATGTACTGGCCATTGGGCAAACAGAGTAAGATCCCAGTCACCTGTGGGCTGCTGCGTCCGTGGGTCAGCCTGAATAAGTTATAGCGACACGTCATGACGAATCAGCTGATGTGGAGCCGTGGAATAACGTCATTCGTGCAGATGTATAATAACATGAACTTTCACTTCGTAGCTGGATTCTGTCTGCATCATTTTACAATCCGTTTGAATCTTTGGCTGCTGCACAGTGGGCTGCTTTACTGAGCTTCTGCTCCATTAGAGCTATTGATCTGGGGACATAGTTGCAATTGTATAGGTTTGTATGCATTTTTACTTGACCTATCATGGATTGTGTGTGATTTAGATCAAGGAACTAAAGGTCTATTCTTTAATCTGGTTTTCATTTCCTGTATGACTGTAAATGTAAAATATAAAGTTTTGCTAATCATATCAGGTCTAATATTAAGCATACATAATTGCTGTATTTATACAAAGGGTTATTTTATATCATTTTTAACCCTTTAAACCATCGTTCTTAATGACCAGTTAATTACTGAATTTAGTCTGAAAACATATTGAACTCTGCATCTATATCTGTATATACTATACTAATTAATTCCCCTTTTATTTCTAAATTCATGCAGGATAAATTCTGAAATTCGTGCACGGAGAAACCCAGGGCCAAGAGGAAGATACTGACCATCAACCAACTACCAACAGTCACAAGATAAACCACCAACAACTAGCAGGTCTGAAGAGAACAGTCGGGGTGAAAAATTGTAAAAGTATTCTGGTATATATTCTCTCTTACCAGCAACAAACTTCTGCATCTTTTGTGAAAACTGCATTGCGGTTTTCCATCCAGTAAAGATTCAAATATGGACGACCACAGAACCAAACGACCTGACTGGACCTGAATGAATTCTTGGAATAGCAAAATTATATGTTTCTTTCTGGAAACAATGCTGCGAGCATCAGTTTGCAGAGCTGCACAGTGTCCCAGTCAGCTGCAACAGCATTATCCAGTCAGCTGAGACTGAGGCGGTCCCATGCCTGACAACCCCCCAACCCCACCCGACCCTGAAACAAAGCAGCGTTCACAAATCAAGTTTTACCCAATTTCCAGTTCTGATGTCACGTTGTATTTTGGACTGAAACACTTTGTTTTCCCTCCGTGGTGAGACACGCTCTCCAGGCCTGTTTTCCTGACAAGACAAACTGAACCTTTGTAGAAGCTGCTTTTTAAATATCCAAGAAAAGACTTAACCGAGTTCTCCATCTAAAAATATGTTTCTTTCTGCACATTTACTTTTTCCTACATTCCCTTCAGCTGTTTGTTTTCTAGACAAGCAAATAACGAAAACAAACCAGCTTGATGCGCCTCTAAAAGTCTCTCTGAGTTGACCTAGATATTCAACATTTGTCTCTGTCACAGCAGTAGCAACTGGAGTCTCCAGATGTTTGATTCTCATAACTACAGAACAGGACCAGATGTCAGCAGCTTTCTGCCCAGAAACAACTGAAATATGTATATCATCAAGTTGTTTCCGTCACCGGTGGAAATTATACCAGTTCAAGCATCGCTTTGATGGAGAGCGTCGGGGTAATGACAAGGCACTGGGTGCACGTAGGTCTTTGAAATGTCTCCCAAAGCTCCTGCGAACACACCTTCATCGCCGCGGAGCTGCTCCTGTGGAAAATACATGTTTGTTGGGGTCTTATTCAGTTTTCCTTGCAGGCGCGGATTCAGTTAGCTTCTCAACTTTGGGCTGCTCGTTACTCCTGAGAGGCAATCTGATGTCTGCCAGGCATTACAAAACATAATTGAACATATCGATGGCATGCAGCAGATGCCGAGACAACCTGCACATTGATCTCAGCCGGATTGCAAAGGAGACTCCTTTCATAGAATTTGGCTTTTACTTGCTCTTCTTCTGCCGCCTCTTCTGTTACATTACACAACTATTTACCGCCTTGTTTTTGCCGTTTTATTGGTCTGTTTTTCAATATTTTGGTTGATAAATAATGTACTAGATGAGTTTTAAGCAATAACAACCAATATTCAGGTTGTCAGGTTACCTCAGGCTCCATCACTCAGCTCTTTAGTTCAGACTCTCTCTAGTGAGACTTTCCAATGGACCGTCTGAACTTCTGGAAAAAGAACAACTTGATGGCTTTTAGAAAGTGAGAAACTCATCCCTTTATTAATGACTTCACTATTAATGACAAAGCAGCCACAGAGATGTTTAACAACATGGCTACGCAAAAAAGTTATTCTTTTTAATTGCTTATAACTGATCTGTCAAGGAGGAGGAAATTACTTTAAAACATGAATAAAGCCGTTAGTTATGACTTTTAAAGATTAAATTAGATTCTATTAGAAAGTGGAACAGGTATTTTATATTTTTTTTTGCCTTTTCCTTAAATAAAGCCTTTCACAGAATGCTTTACAAAATGACTGATATTCATAAAAGCATTACATTTTTAAGAAGTCAGGCGGTAACATTAGGATACAAAAGATAGTTTTCATGTTGGTGGCTGCAGTGGGAACTGAACATGTCAGTGTTGTTCAGCCTCTGCCTATGACTTCATAGGGCAGATGTGCTTTTCCACAACATTTCCTCCATTATGAGCCGGTGAACAGAGGTGATCTCTGTGCTACAGAACACGCACTAAACTAGAGTTCAAGGCCTCGCTCTGCCCTGACTTTTTCCTCAGGCCTTAGATTCAAAATCTCGTTACAGCATCAGAGAAGGTTCGAGTACAACCACAAACGTCTCGCTCTCTTTAGCGGCGCACAAAAACTTTCATTGTTTGATCCAAAAATTTAAATTGGGTTGAAAATGTTTCCGGCCTCACAGTGACATGCAGGAAGTGTTTCCAAAAGCAGTCGTGGTTTGGTTCTTCCACAGAGAGAAGTGGTCAGCTCAGGCACAACGAGAGTCTGACCTTTTTGGTGCTCAAACCACAAGAGTCAAACCAGTCTTTCACCATTTTACCCGCCAAAAAGCCTTTCAGGGTCAAGAATCCCAACCTGTAAATCACGATCCGAGTCTAGACTAAACAGATCCTCCAGATGAATCAACATGCAGCAGTGATTTCTCCGTTTGACGTTTTCTCAGCCTGATGTTAGTGCACACAGTTTGATTAGTGCTTCTTCTTTCCCAAGCTCTGCCCAAGTACTTCAGTGAATGTGGGTATTTTTAGCCCTGTGTTTTTCATTCAGAGTTTCTCAGGCAGTGGAGAGAGCAGAGGGACGAGCGTCTGATTGGACCACCGTGGTAGACGCTAACCTTTTAATACATAGTATTGTCCTGTTTTACTACAGTCATTAGAAGGCATTGCTCCTTTATGTACAGTCATTTGCAACATTTTAAAGGATAAATCTGGTGATATATGTAATTGTATATATGTAAACAAATCCTGTGAAAAGACCAAAACAAACAGTAAATTGATCCCACTAAAAAGTCACAGAGAGTTTTCCAGTGTCTCATTTCTACTGAAGCTATTCAGAATTATACAAGAGACTTGATTGAATTCATGCAAAAGGCCAAGAGGAAGGACTTCATAATAAAAGATAATCAGACAACTAAATTAATAAAGTAAGTTGCATTTCTACAAAACCATGAATCTGTCATCTGGAGAATTTTTAAAAGACTAACAATTAACAATTAAACAATTAAATACAAACTCAATCGGCAAAAATCCCAAACAAAACCTAAGTTGTTGGTTTTTTGTTTCACGAGTCACATCTCGAGACTAATCGGACAAATAATATTATGATGAACTCTGAATATTTAAGTGTCTACCAGCTACAAAGAACTAAGACAACACAACAGCCTTTGTTTTACTGTTAAAGATTTGTGTCATTTCTACTTATTACATTCCACTGTGTACAGTGTTGTGTTCTTGAATTGTAATTGCTCTAAACTTCCCGTCCAGCTGGAAGTCAACTCTGGAGCCATTGTTTTAAAATATTTCAACATGGTCTCTGCAACAAAAATCAGGATAAATCAAAAAAAAAAAAAAATGTTCTACCTTGTGAAAACTAAAACTACATGTAGACAACTCACAGCTGCTTCACTCAAACACACTGAACTTCTGAAAGGCTTCTCTCCTTTCAGGGACAGTTGGGAAAGCCACTCCAATCAGAGGATCTGGCATGAAGCTGAAAGTGGTAATTTCCATTTTCTAAGCCTGGATGCCTGCTAATTATGATGACAACCTCCTGCTCTCAGGTTCCACACAGCTCCGACACTTAAAACTAATTGTTGCCTTAGATTGGAAGAATAAAAATTGCCTCAACTAAAAGGTAAACAAACCACATAGATTCACAGAGCAGAACATTTATTTGTTTAAATTCTCCTGGAATTGTTCTTATTTAATCAGTGGGTATCCGCTTTAATAACAAATAGTACAAGCTCAAGATTCTTCCTTCAACTCATAAACAAATGCCGCCACCTTTAACAGGGAGGCGTTCAGACCAACTTTTACACGGCATTAAAATAAATTTCACAGAGGCCAGTCCAGCAACCAGTAGTGGAAGAAATATTAAAATACAGAAAAATACCCCATAACAAGTGAAAGTCCTGCATTCAAAAACATAAGTAAAAGTACAGAGGTACCATCAACTAAATGTAATTTAAAGTATTAAAAGTAAAAGTACTCATAATGCAAAGACATTTAGAAAAAGTAAGTACGATAAGTACGTAAGCTGTTAAATAAATATAGTGGAGTAATAATTACAACATTGTGTGTGATGGAGTAGAAGTATAAAGTAGTATACAATGGAAATATTCAAATAAAGTAAATGTACCTTGAAGTTGTACTTGAATACAGGGCCTCAGTAATAGTGCGTTTGCCAACACCGGCAAAACAACACAGTGTCATCCGGAAAATTCCAGTGTTGGTGCCCTGTAAGGGCACAATCCTGGTGCCTTACTTTGTAGCATCAGCTGTGTATTCGCACCGTTTACTTTGTGATTGTCGTGACAAAAGATTGAATAGTTGCTGCCGTGATATCTCTCCAGGAGTCATAAGATGTGACAGACCCTCTGTACAGTGGTTTGGCATCTGTTGAGCCTTGAAACAAATTAATTTGTTACTCAAACCGTTTCATTGTCTAACCTGCATCTGAAACAACACGGCCCAACCAACGCCTGAATGCCCACTTAAAGCTGCACTCAGTGGTCCTTCAAATGGACGTCATTCAACACAAGAGCAATCCAGTGAAGATGTTGAATGAGGCTGAAAAATGTTTCTGCACACAGCAGCGATTTTATTCTCATTCAGGGGTTTATTTAGGATTGCAAACCCACCAGATTACCTGTGAAAAAATGCAGATTTTGACTTTAGTGTGCTGTCATCTTAACGCTGGTGAGTCCAGCTTTCTCTTCGCTCATCATGTCACTGCAGTGCAGAGTTACTCAGTCTGGAGGGGCTAAAATAAAACCACTCGTAATAGAGCTAAAAATACGACGGCATGCATCTTATCAAGCTCGTGAGTGAGAGCACACACCCAAATTTAATTCAGTTTTAATTTAATAAACTGTCCTCCCTCTGTTCTTAGGTGCAAGGCAAGAAAGTATGAGTTAGGGAGTGTGTGTATAAAGGCAAAAAATAACTGGAGCAAGAGAGGAAATATCCAGAGTATCAAAGTGTAACACTGAGCTCCTGACACCTCCAACTAAACTTACAGTCAATCTATTTTTGAGACGACAGCAGTAAGTGAAAACCCCAGAGTCCTGTTTCCCCTCAGCCAGAAAGGTTGTTGAGCGATAAACACTGACTCAAAGGGACACGTCTCTGCTTACTCATGTCATCTTTGTACAGCAGGTTGTCTCGTCAATTTGAGATATTTGCCTTGGTTACATATCAAAACCAACATTAAGAAATACCCTCCAGCTTTAATTTCTGTTTCATTTTTACAAGAAGACGCTAAAGAGGAAGTTCCACAAAAAGGCCACGGCATCCTGACATTCCTGACTGAAATAAATAAACATGTATTGTTTCTCTGTAGCCTTTTATCCATTAAGGCTACAGAGAAACCCTTTATATGGTTGGTATTAAATAATTTAGCCACACTCATAAAGAAGAAACATAAACGTACAATTAGGACGCACCGATCAGACTCTTTTCAGCCATGATACCAATACTGGAGCTTCTGCTATCGGCCGTCTAAATTTGTCTAAATTTAAACAGGGATTAAAATTCCAGTGAGTAACGTATATAGTATATAATATAGAATTGAATAGAATAGATCAGCCACTTTGTCACCAATACCCATTCTAGCTATTTGAGTCAGTAGACTGTATCTGCGTAATATCGCACAATGGCAGAAACGCTCTCCCATCCAGTAGCGGCCATCATCATCGATCATCAAACTGGACGCTCTTTCAAACTTGTCTTTAGAACCAAATGTTGCTTCCTTTTCCTGAATCCTTCCACTATACCTCTGTAAACACACCCGATCACCAGAAACAACAATATTGGCCAATTCTGCAAAATAAAATCGAGGATGCAATTACATCGTTTGTTAACATCCAACGTCGATATCATTTAAAAGGATTTTGTTCTTTGGTATCTGCATGTGGCAACTAAAGTATGTTTAAGGTTTAGAGAAAACAGGATGCTGGTTATGGAAAATTAACTTTGGTTAAACCTGCAATAACTGACCACTAGGGGAGCAGCAAAAACAAGATGTGAACACATTGACATAATATCACTTTTTAAGTTGATATGTTGAGCTTGATAGCAAATAGCTTATTTACACATCCAGAAGAGTTGTGTTTGTGTCAGCCTAGTGGCTATAAGTCAAATATGAACTGTTTAGCTCTGTATTTGGTCTCTACCAACTATATATAGGGTTCAACACTTCTGACAAGAGAGGGGGGCGTTTTCATCCCATTAGGAGCCTCACACACAACACTATTAGAGATATTTATTCTGCTCTACTAGCAAGCAAACCAACTTTATGCATAACACTTCGCAAACAGAAGTCCTGAATGGGAGAGAGACGGGGAAAAGGAGGTAGAGAAAAGAAAAAGAACAAGCTAAGTAGTAATGGTAATACAATTAAGTATTTTAGAAATGACAGAGTTACAGTCACTTTTTAGGGCTATAAAAAGCAATAATAGACATATGACTTTAAAGATAGAAACAATTCTCTATTGTTTCTATAGGTCTCTATTGAAAATCAAAGGATTTTGGCTACATTCCTGGAAGTTAAAAACGCAAAAAAGCACAACATGATTATAAACACATAAGCGTAGTAGGACAGTGATATTACAGGAGCATCACAAATATATAGATTTCCTGCAGCCGACGAGTACTTCTTACAATAATTCACCGCAACACTTTGAGGCTAATAACTAAAACACATGCAGAGTAAATCTTTGTGTTGTTAGTTCCTGGAGCGTGGCAATAATCAGCGAATCAATAGGTATCAGTGTCAGTGTGTGGTCATCGATCCCTCGGGCTGTTTCCTACCTTCTGCCGTGTGTCCGTCCAGTCTCACTGAGACTTGTCATGACTTTCTGGAGAAGGTAAGAAAAGTTTGGGAGGAGAAGATGAAAAAAAAAAAAAAAAAAACTCCTACCCCTGACTTGTGTCAAGGTACACAATATATAAAATACGTTTTCCGGTTTGGGATTTAAAAATAAAACGACAATGTTGAACATGATTTTTTTTGTTAGTCGTATATAAGCAGTTGCCACTTTCGTTTTGTTTTTATGCTGCGTTGCTGCAGCAGATATGCTGCTTATACTTTTTTTTACATTTCACTACAATATAAAATCTTTTTTTGCGTACGCAAAACCTGCTTGTGTGGAACCCATGATGTTGCATTGACAATAAACATAAGATTTGAGAACAAGAAGCAGACACATTTACTTTCATATACGAGTGATACATTGTTGCCTAGACTGTAGGATCAATTCAAAATAGGCTACATTTGATTGTGTGCAAGTGTGAGGTAAAAGTTGATTGATGTGTCATTTAAGTTACATAATTATATTAAATACATGCCCAATAATGCTATAGTAGCCTGACATGGCAACAAGATAAATTGTCATAGTGTGAAAAACATACTTGACACTCTGCAGGCTGCATTTTAGCACGCGTGTCCCACCATGTGCTTTTATTTTGAAGGCAGAATCCTGTTTGACCCAGTCATTTCCGGTCTAACTGTGGATTTTGACCAGCTTCTTTCAGATTGCTGTTAGTTTGCCGCTGGTTACAGTGCGAAGGAATCAATGACAGACAGCTGAATCCTCCAATCAGGAACGAAAAACACGGCGCCGGGCTGGTGACGAAAGGGGGCGGGACTTGTTCGTCAGTTTGGTCGACAAAATGCGTCGTTACATTTGTTCATAGTCGCAAAACATGAGGCCGATCAACCGATATAACGTTTTCACAATATCAAGTTAATCCACATACTTTAAACCCATTTAGCTTGTTTTAGAAGTCTTTTCTTAGGTTGTTCAGTCTAAATATCTAATATCGATGTGGTCTGTTCGTATCAAAGTCAACCAGCGCTCACGCAATATTTTCTTTTTTATGCCCTTCACAGTTTTAGACGAAACCATATTTGTTTATATTAAAATAAACAGCCAAGACTACAACCATAAAACATCAGAAAGTACAATATCTTCCATCAAGCAGATGAGGACGCTGTTGTCTTTCAGTTTGAAGGCAGTCAGAGCATTTTCGTACCTGAAACCGACAGTCCACAACATAGTACTGTTTAATAATAGTGCTGGAAAGTACATTTTGGTAGGTAGGAATACTTTTACTTTCCTTGAGTGTTTTAATTGAATGCTACTTTATACCTGTACTTCACTGCATTTCAGAGAGAACTGGTATGCTACTTCAATACAGCTGGAGTTAGATTATGATTAATGTTCTTATTTAGTTTTAGTTTCCACTGCATCCGGCTCAAGCTGTTTCTTTTTACTTAAGTCATTTAAATTAGGCTCATGTTCAGTTCAGTTCACATCTTTCAGCTTATGAACAGTCCTTCAGATTTAAAGGATTTATTAGGTCTATATGTCTAGCGGCAATATGGGGTTCCAAAGTTAATTCTTGACTTGAGAAACATTCGTTTGAGCTTTCAAGCAAATATGTTCTTTGTCATTAGAACAAGAGCCGGCAGAAACAACCCTCAACATGATGCTGTCAAAACACCACACACACCAAGAGACAGGACAGGAGGAGTGATGGTAAAGAGACAGATATGTCCCTCAGGAGTTGATGGACCAAACACAGCTAAGGGTAGATTCATATTGACCAGAAACACAATTAATTATATAATGATGTTGCTTTGTAGCTGTGTAAATAAGCAACTGTTTGACGACTTTATAAAGATATAATAGTGAGTTGTGTTGACGGCGTGTTCTGCTTTCCCCAAGTGGCCACAAATCACAACTATCATTGCAGCTTTAAAGAAACTGTAAATGTTAAAGCAGGAGATAAATACATCAAAGTTAATAGGTTGACACAACAGGAAATTGAATAAAAAAATAGTTTATTTTTTTTTGCCTTGTTTAAATGCAAGTAATGAACACATGCCTGAATGTTTTAGATTTAGTTATCATTTTATTAGAAGATTATTTAAAAAAGCACTGAAACAGTACATTTTTACTTAATATATTTAGTCAGTGGTTATTATTCCTCTCTTGTACAGGTGATGAGTAACAAAGTAGAAGTACATTTAGCTACTACCTCTATATTTTACATGGGAAATGTAAATGTAAAAGTAAATGTTTAAAAATTCCGAGACAATTTTAATGACACTTTAAAATATAAAATTGTGCCTCCTGGTCTGGCTGCTGCTTTTAGTCTTTTTTTAGGAGGGGACAGAGGATATTTAGGGGGACATAGCAGGTCATCAGCATATAACACATAGAGGTATACTTTACTTGAAAGCTGGGAAACTGAAGATTAGTTGAAGTGAAAAAAGCCCCAACAAATTGTTGCAGTGTAGTATACCAGAAAAATTTCAAAATGACATCAAGAGTATTGTATGGCATAAAAATAAAAATGTCATGGGATAGTATGTCAAAAGAAGTCATGACATTTTTTTTTATTTTAATTTAAAAAGTCATAGTATAGTATGCCATGGAAATGTCATAGTATAGTGTGTGGTAAAAATATAAAAAAGTCATAGTATAGTATGTCATAAAAATGGTACGTCATACTATACTATCTATGACATCAAAATTGTATACTATTGTATATTGTAGTTTAAGTTTAAGTCATAGTATAGTATGCCATACAAAACTGTAAGTAAGTCATTAAAAAGATGCCATGAAAATGTAATGGTATAGTTGGTCATAAAAAAACATTAGTATAGCTTGACATGAAAAATAATAGGAACGGCATAGTTTAGCGTGTCTAAAAAAGTGGTATAGCATGTCAAAACAATTCTTAGTACAGTGGGTTGAAAATAGTCAGTTTAGCATGTAGAAAAAAAGTAAAATATTCATGGTACAACAGGTTGAAAAAAGTACTCCAGAATTAATTTGCTAATTATTACTATTTACATAATTGTATAATACTATAAAATGATGATTTTTTTGGACAGACATGGATGTCAACGTTTCACAAAACATTTTAGATTATTTAATTGAAAATGATAGTCAGTATATTGGCAGAGGAATTCCTGCAAACACTGATGGGTCAGCCACTATCCTACTGGCCCGCTTTCTGTCTCTGGCATCGGGCAGAACATTCACAGGCACCTGTTCCTGGCCTATGAGCCACCAGGCTGTTTGCACAATGCGTTCCAGTGTGTGGTTGGTGTTGGCAAAGGATGCGGGGAACCACACTGTGATGGAAGAGGTGAGGACACTCTTGATGGTGGCTCTGTAGAATTGGGTGTGAACTTTCGGGAGGATGCTTATCTTTTTTTTTTGGAGCAGTCTGAGGAAGAACATCCTCTGGTGAGCTTTCTCGATTACATAAAGATGCGTGTGTCTAGAGGAAGCTGTGTCTATGTGCCTTCACAGAATCCTGCAGCACCTGGAGGCCCCACCATTTATGAAAGGGTTTTATTCTTTTTAGTTAAGCTTTTAATTTAGTCCTCGTGGAGTGGTGTAGGGAAAACAGCCTGATTGTAAACATCGCTACGATCAAAGAAATAATAACCGCGATAGGGGAGAAGATTGACACTTTTAAATTCCACAAGCGTCAGTCAACAAGCACTTCAAAAGAAAAAAGTAGATAGTAGCAGAACAAAGTACTCCAGGGTTGTATCAGTTTATCATACATTTATGGAGAAATGTGCTAACTGTTTTCACTGTTATTTATTGATGTTTTTTGACTGTTTCTTAGAGATGCACTGAGACAAATTCCTCTCAACTGTGTCGACATAACAATAAAGTATTGAACTTTGACCTCTATCGTTCTGTGTTGGTAACTTTGTAGAAACCTTTGTACACAGTGAGCAACCAGAGAGGGGAAAAAAAGAGTTGGAGGCCAAACACCAGCAGCTCTTTATCAGAACAAAAAGCTATTTCCCAGCTGAGTAGCGAATGGCACTGACGGGATGGAGATAGAAGGACACCCGTCTTTCACGTTCAAATCAAAGTCCAGACACTGGCAACAAAACATGTTTTCTTCGCTGCGACCCGAAGGAGAGTCCAGGTGGGGCCAAACAGGATGAAGTAATAAACACATTTGGCATCAGCTTCAAGACCTCTGAGGAGGGAAAGGAGCTCCTTGTTTGGCTTCAGAAAAACGAGTTCAAGTCATGAATCATAAAATTAGGGGCTTTAATTTAAGATTATTTTTATTATCAATTTCTAATAATTTACTGTAGTGTATTTGAAGTATTGTCACAAAAACATGACCATATCCATCTCATTGATATTTAAGTTTAATGTGAAATTAGATTTTATTTGCACATTGTATTAAACTAATGCTTGTGTATAAAGATCAGAAATGCCTTGGCAGTTAGGCTACAGCTTCAAGAGCTCCACCTGACCTGCAGCTAACTTTTAGGATTAGTTCATGAGTAGATGAGAATTGTTTAAGATTTGGGCGTGATTGGGACATCCACATGTTTTGGTCCTGTCTGCAGCTGAACAATGGTTTTCCCTTTCAAATTAATGCATCACAGTTATTGATCAAAACCTTTTTACGTCCATACTAGTGTTGGTCCCTGAAGATTTGAATGTCACAGCTAACAAAGCTAAGTCTGCACCCTTCTTTACACGACTAATTATCTTCAAATGAAAAGGGACTGAACCACCATCATGTCATAAACACTGGCTGGAGGATTCAGTGGCACATGTCAAACTCCAATAAGTGACACTGGTCTTGGCTAAAGCAGAAGGTTTTAGATCTGGCAACCCTTTTTCTGCTTTATTTTAGAAATTGGACAATTTCCTGTCGATGTGTACGATTTTACAATGTCTAGTATTCCTTTGTTTCCCTTTTGGTATTTTGTATGTATTTGCTGTGAGCTGATGTTAATGTTGGAATGTTGAATGGAAATTCAGTAAAAAAAAGAAATTATAAAATGTTTAATTAAGTTTGGTTTCAGCAGATTATTTTAATGTGTCTTTATTTTCTAAATATTCATCCAGAAATCCTTTTCACTAACTAAAAATAGACAACTAATTTTAGCATAATACAAAACACATAATAATTGTAAGTGCAAAGTAGCAGTGATCAGCAACTTACTAGGAAAGATTCCTTTACAAAATATAACAAATAGAACTAAACTGTCAAATATGTCAAGTGATTAAACTTTGTAAAATGTCTCTTGATGATGTTTTTAATCTTCTGATGACTACGATAATATTATATAACATTTGGGCCATGTTTAAAAACAAATTTAGATTATTTTCTCATAATTGAAAATATCCCAAAACACAAAAAACTATAAAACAATAAAGCAAAGAAAACTAACTGAAAAACCAACAATCAGTAAGAAATCTGCATGTGGTTACAAGTAAAGTTATTTTCACACCCAGAGGCTTTCCTACCAGTTTCTGGGTGAAAGGTGAACCGTGTAAGAGAAGTGATTTGACCCTCTTACAGCAGAAGTCACGGCCCAGCAGAGCGTGAAGCAATGTGATGGTGGGTGCAGTGAACCAGTGAAGCCTCATGTGAGTAACTTTCTTGACTGAAGCAAAGGTTAGTACCTGATGAATAACACCACAAACAAAGGTCAAGCAGGGTTTCATGTTAAGAAATGAAGCAGAGGTCGGTGAGGTATTTATATTTCATGCAATGAGACGCTGAGGAAGTTTAAAGATGAGTTTAGACAGATTGTCAGGTGTACGTTTGTTGAAATGAGGAACCATCATCCTGTCTTAACAGGATGTAAAAGAAAGACATCACACAGGGAGGTGTCATGTAAAACAGCGCTGGTCCAAGTTGTAGGCTACGACTGTTCAAGTTACTCTAAACAAGATTAAACATGTCAGGATGCTTCTGCTGCCTGTCCGATGGTCAAAACGTGTTGGAAACCCCCTCCTCCCTCCCAACACACCTTTCCAACGTCAAGACTGAGAACACTGCTTCCGACAACTTCAGTAACTTTCCAAAACCGACAATTTACACACACTTCACGCTGTGATCGGCCAACTGTACAGAAGTGAGAAAGTTGTCAGGGCTTTACATTCTCTCTCTCTAGTCTTGTTTTCTCTCTAAAAGCAACTATTTCTGTCACTTTTCATGTTTACAACCGAGTGCAACACGTCTTTCAACTAAATGTTATCCCCAATCAAGCTGTTATCGGTCCCCTCTACGATGGCGGACTGTTTACCCCGCTCCTTCAAGTGTGCATGGTTGTGCAGCTATATGCACACTTTGCCTGCAGACGTGGTCGAACATGTCGCTCCAACTAGTTAGTTTAGAGCACTGCATCTTTGTGAAGCTCTTACGCCCATCCTAAAGAACCTAACCTAACTGTAAGATGCATAACAGTTGAAGTCAAAAGTTAGATTCTGATCCGTAGCACACCAATGTAAGTGAACGAAAACAAATGGTAGTGGTTAAATTAAAATTGTATTCACCTGCATATTCGTCCTCTGGGGACCATAAATGTACAACATTTAAATTCGATTCATCTACTAGATATCAAAATATTACACAGGAGAAGTAATAACTTTGACCTGCTGTTGCCGCTGAAGTGGAATTCTGAGGAATCGCTTAAGTCATTCAAATACTGTACATCCTCTGGGGATCATGAATGTCTGAATGAGATTTCAAGGCAGATGTTTCAGTCTGGATCAAAGTGGTGGACCTGGCATCGCCATCACTACAGCTCAAAAATATACAAATTACATAAAAAGCTTGATTACAAACAGAACTATACATTAGCTAAAAATAAATAGAATAAGTGGTTTAATTTAACGGTAAGATACAGGATGATGAACCTAAAGTAGTGCTGATTTAAATCACTGTAAAACTATACATTCAGTGTTTCACAGTAGCCTTAAAAACCTCATTAACCCACTCGTGAAAACAGGAAAGGTATTTACACAGCCTGACATGCCTTCACCTCTGTTGTACTCTTTGATCAGGGAGTGGATGCCTCAAGGAAACAACGCTGCTTTCTAGGCTAAAGTGCAAGCTAGAGAATCAGGTTTAAAAAAAAAAAAAAAAGAGGAGAAAAAAAAAAGGCAACTGGTCCCAAAGCGAGAGGGAACACCAGGATACAGATGCTGTGAGAAGAGAAACTGGGTAAAAGGTCAGAGTGATGCATGTGAATGAGCGGAGAATCAACCTTTGAATTGTAAATAAAAGCTGCTTTGTTATGAATCCCCCATGACGTCACGAACGTTACCTTTCACACACTTTGCTTTTCTGCCAAATTATCTGAGCTGACTCCCATATGTTGAAAACAGAAAAGAGACGAGACGGGACTAAAGACTGTTTTCCAAAAATGACAGATACCATTCTAAACCAAATAAATAAGTATAAAACATTAACATTAAGTTACAGGATTTCTGTTGATTTGTGTCCCTTAGTTGAAAATATAGATAGAAAACGAATGAGACAGAACTGTGATGAAAACATTCAAATAAATCTGAAATGCCTAATCAAACAAATCCCAAATCTCTGTTACACTAATTTTAGATTTGCTGTCAATGGTTTATTTTTTTCTCATCTCGTGCTTCTGTGAATTGGCTGTGTTTATCTTTCAAGGTGACTGATAAAGACTACACAAACACTCGAGGTTGAAGATCACAACAAAAGTTAAAAATAAATCCTGATCCAGCTGCAGCTCTTCTGCTTTTGTTGGTTGGTCTCGCCCTCAAGCTGAGTATATCAGATCCTAAAGAGAGTTTGGGAATCTTTTCTTTCCTTGAGAGGCTGATGCAACACACCAGACACGTGACAACAGCCTCAACTTTCACACACTAACCCACTGGTGCCTGAAGACACGGTCTACCCCCGCCACCGCCACCCCGCCCCTTAGTGGAAGCTCATGTCCTGTACATGTGCAGATCTGATGGAACATGCTGTGTTGTTGTAATCTGCACATAGTTAAAGTGACCTCGGGGTTCAGGAAAGTTTCTGGATGTTTTTGGAAGATGAAAACTGTCTTTTAACTCATGTCAAAGTGTGATTTGTTGAGATTAATTAATCTGCAGATAACCAGTTATCTGATGTGTCGGGACAATATGATCAGATATCTGCCGCTCAGTGTCATTCACCTCATTTAAGTCACAGATACAGAAATGCATGTGTAAAATATTTGTTAATATTGTCATTTACAAGCCTAAAATATATCCAGGCACATCACTGCAATCAACATCCACGTTTGAACTTTGCCATACTAACGCGTGTTCCAGAAAACCAAAACAATGAGCTGAAAGACGCTAAAACGCTCGGTAGAGCTGAGCAACAGATTCAGGTGATACTTACTGTATGTGTGGGTCAATTACTATGAGCAACTCCTTCCAGATTACACATACTGTGTTTTTACATTGCTCATATAAAAATAACTATTAGTGCAGCTTTAACGCAGCTGAATGCAAATAACTGAATGAGGCTTTACATGACTGCCAACATCTTTAAAAGCATCAACATGATCTCATCTTGTGAAGTCGGGGCTAGAAGGAACTTTCCACTTACGAAATCATATAAACCTGTGATGGATTCGTTTAATAAGAAGCATGTATCACTACGATACTACGTCAGGGGAAATCAAATGTATAAGCCAAAGTTAGAGTGTGGCTCTTGTATTTCTTTAGAATGAAACAATGATTTGCTGGCAGTGTCAATATAAAAATGAGCGAAACTTTAAAAAAATGTCAAATCGCCCTTAGTTTCCCGTCTGACAATCTAACTGAAGATTTGGATAAATATTATGATAACTACCACCACAAATATATTTTAATACATCTTCTAGTTTCTGAAACCCTGAATTCCCATTTACAGGAAACAGCTGTTATTAAAACAAGGCTCAAGGCTGCCTCTGAGCAGAGCTGCGGACACAAAGCTGCGCCTCATGTAAGCTGAGAGCAGGAGGTTTAGGGATACGTGCAGGACGGCAGCCTGCATGCACAGACAATACGTGCACTGGATCACAAATCAGACACTCACAGTACAAACAAATGATGTAAATGTCCCGAGGCCGAGGCTATATCACGAATACAAACAAATGACAAGTATACTGGTTCAGTTGTCAATGTTAGGTTTAGTTTCATCATACTCTACTTTGTAACTGTGCAACAAGAAAATATAGCTCCTCTTTGTCCGTCTGGTTTCATCAGAGGTTGGGAAACATTCATGACTGCAGTTTCAAAATGTTAGTTGCCATTATGATTTAGTTTGACACCACAACAACAGCTTGTTTATCAGAGACTACAGTCAAACATTACCACACTGAGCGGTTTCTCTTCTCGACATTTGTTTTTTAGCTTCACTTGCAGCGTGGCTGTCTGTAAGTCCACCATGTTGGTCCACACTGAAATATCTCAACAACTAGTGGATGGGTTGGCATGAGATTTGGTTCAAACATTCATGGCTTAAAGAGGATGAATCCTAATGACTTTAGTGAATACACATCACATTTGTGGTTTTGAATGAAAGGTCTGCACCACTATTGGATACATTGTCATGTTCCCCTAATGATGAATTGTAATAACTTTATTATCGCTTGACTTTACGTCTTGCAACACCATCAGGCTAACATTTTAATTCCTCCAATATTAATAATATATTATGAACTTCGTTGTTTTAAGAAAATACATGTAGGAACAGATTTTCCCATCAGCCTCAGGTTTACTTTGTGTTTAGTACTAATTAGCAAATGTTAGCTTGCTAACATGCTAAACTAAGATGGCAAACATGGTAAATATTACACCTGCTAAACATTAGCATGTTAGCATAGTAACATGATGTTCAGCCTCGTGGAGCGGACATCGTGGCTGTAGATGCTTAGTTTAGTTATCATATTCAGATCTTTGTGAGTTCTTCATGTTGACATTTTGATTTTGATTCATTAGATTAGGGCTGTAATTACTGACTATTGTTAATTTTGCTATTGACAAATACTTTCTTGATTAATAGTTTGGTTTGTAAAATATGGAAATACAAAAATGGCCATCAGTTTCCCTAAAACGCAAGGTTTCGACCAACAGCCCAAAACTCAAAGATAATAAGTTTATCATCACAATAGACAGAGAAAAGGCAGATAGTTGTAGAATATTTGTAATTAACTTATTAACTAATCTTTTTAGTGCATCATAACTTCAAGAGTTTAAGAAATCCCTTTTAATCTGACCATTTATAATCTTCTCTTGTCTGAGTAAAATATTTCTTTAAAAACGCTTTTCTTATAAATCACAAGCAAAGCCATGGTTTTCCATAATGTACTGCATGTGTGTGTTTCAGTGTCTGGCATATCATGTGGCATCTGTACCTCATCAGTGAGCTACACCTCGTGCCTTGCGCCAACGTGAGTGATTGTTGGACTTCGTCGTCAGGACCGTGTGTGTAAAAAGGCCTGAGGGTTGAACTTTCCCCTACTTCTCACACTGACTCCTCCATCTTTAAATGTTCTCCAGCATTCCTGAATACTTCAAACTGAAGATGGGCAGCGACTCGCCTGCTTCACTCACTGAGATAAACAACAATATTGAGTATCAGTGGTTCATTTGTGGAGGCAAAAGAAACTAAATCTGACCATAACATCTTGTTGTTTAACATTCAACAAAACTATAACTATTGTGACTTTTTTTTTTTTTTTTTTTTTTTTAAATCAATCTGAATTTCCACATGAAATTTAAAATAATAAAAACTACACAGATATTTTGGTGTTAGGTTGAATCTTTTTGAGTGAACTGAAATATGGAAAACAGTAGATAAATATTGTTTTATTACAATCAGTGTGTTGGGGATGTTAAATGCATGCAAAACGTTAGATGTAATACTTCATATTCTATTTGCATTAATGAACAAATGAACGCCTGTGATATACAGGATAATTATGTTACATAGAATAACAACAATAAGCCAATTAATTGATAAGTCAGCCACTATTGAGTCATTTTTCAAGCAAAAATACCAAATATGTACTGTTCCAGGTTCTCAAATGTGAAGATTCTTGGTCTTAGATGATAATTTGGACTTGTTGTTCAGACAAAACAAGACAATAATGTCACCTTGTGATGTAATCTTTGCCTTTTCTGATATTTTATAGATGGTAAATCAGTTGTTAAAATAATCAGCAGATTAATCATTAATGAAAATTTGTTTAAAAGTTTCAGCCCTAAATAGAATATTTGAGTTATTTTATGGAAACTACAAAGCGCACAGCTAGAAAAAAAAAGACATTTTTTTAACTTTTGTCACAAACTAAAAACTAAAATCAGAAGCAGACTTTGGTAGAAAAGCGAGTGTTTAATCCGTAAGATTCAGACCTTTCATTGCATCATGATCCAAGTCTGCATAAGGGTGACTACTATGAAAGACTTTCCACGCCCCCAGTCTCCCGTCATCCCACCTCCAAGCTCCAAAAGCCAATCAGAAGAGCCCTCTGCTGCAGCACTGAGCTATAAAAATCTCTCAGTGCTGTTTAGAGACAGATATCAAAACCAGCTTTCATACTGAAACAGACTCTCAGCGGACACAAAGATGAATATGCCACAGCTTCTCATCCTCCTGTTGACCATTTTGGTGCACGCAGCAGTCGCTTTCCCCACAGACAGAAGAGCTCAGCCTGACAAACACGCCTCCTGGGATGACATGAACATTTTGGCTCACGGCCTCCTGCAGCTGGGCCAGGGTCTGAAGGAGCATGTGGACAAGAACAAAGCCCAGATGAGAGACGTCAACGCCAAACTGAAGGCCTTCAACCGCACGGTGGCTGAACTGGAGAGGAAGCAGCAGGAGCAAGATGAAGCTCTGAAGGCAAGAAGCAAAGAGGTGGAGGAGGAGAGGCAGAGGCTGGCGGCAGAGCTGGCTGAGGAGGTGAGGGTGAGGGTGGAGGAGGTGAAGACACAGAGCGAGGACATCCACACCAGGATGGACAGACTGGAGGAGAAGGTGGATGAGGTTCTCAAAGAGCCGACACTGGTCAGCAACAACAGCGATCGCACAGGAGTCTCATTTATCCAGGTGAGGAACAATAAATAGGAGCATTTCTGAAAACAAAATCCACTAGTGCTAGTTACAAAACACAATCCTACAGTAGTATGTGAACTTGTTTCCCATCGAAATACCTCCATGTCGGATGTTATTTGAAACAAAGCTGTACCCCTGAAAACACAATGACGCTGTGAAGCTGACCAGACATTGTATTTTTCCAGAGACTGGTAGCGGCTCAGAACAGACGCATTGACCAGCTGGTGGAGAAAATCAAGCAGCAACAAGACAAATTGGAGAAGCAGAGTCTGCACCTGCAAACACTGCAAACCAAGGTGAGCCTCGTAGGGTTTAAGCCAGGGAGAGAGAACAAAACTGTGACTTTTCAGCTGCAGGATGATCCCTCAAACCAAAAGAATTAACAAGATGATTGTCAGTGGTTAATTATGGTTTCTTTACCCTGCTCTGTGATCCTCCCAGGTTGCACACAAGAGAGTCAAATCACACCGACGGAGAGATGAAGAGACGGCACTGAGGGGAGAGACAGAAGAGCTGAGCAGAGACGCATCAGGTAAGAAAGTGATGGAGACAAAGTCGCTCTGAGGGGAAAGAAAAAAATGGAATGAGGGAGGATACTGAAAAGACTTTAACCAGCAGTTCAGCAAACGCTTTTCAGTTTGCAACCATTTGCAGAAAGAGAACACAGGAGCTATTCATTTATCCTGAAGTCACATAAGAACAACAACAAACATCACCTTTGCACCTGAATTTATAACACTTGAGTCGCTGACAGAGCAGTTCACATCGAGTCCAAAGATCAGGAGAAAAAGAGGACAGCAGCTGTTAAACACACCTGTACTGTATGTTTGTAGGACACGGAAAGCCAGATTCATCAACAACGTTTTACAGATTTACTGATTTGAATGTCCAAAATCAAACCTGAGCCCAACAGACTGGCTCTGATGCCTCAGCCTGAACGAACACCTCAATCATCTGATCGGTTTTCTGTCTTCTGGTTTTTCCTCAGGTTTGGCCAGAGACTGTCACGATCTGTTTGTACGAGGCCAGCGAGCCAGCGGCATCTACAAAATCCAACCACAGAGCTCCCGGCCCTTCAACGTCCTCTGTGAAATGACTTCAGGTGAGAATCATAAAGCAGTCTCAAAAAAACACTCCAGAGTTTCCCCACTAAGAGGAGAAATTTTAGTTCAAAAGGTTGCACAGCGATACATGATCCCTAAGAAATTTAAACAGCTTTTACATTTTTCTATTTCCACTACAGCGTCAATACAATACAAAGTGAAGTATTTTTGTGTGCTAAGCCTCTTTAGCTCAATCTTTTCTCTCTCTCTGCAGAAGGTGGATGGACCGTGATCCAGAAACGTCAAGATGGATCCAACAACTTCAACCAGCTGTGGGAAAGCTATAAGAAAGGCTTTGGCAACCTGAATGGTAAGAAACTTGTCTCAAAGAAGTTCTTAAAATATCACTAAACCTCAGTGAAAATGTAAAATTAATCTCAACATTTCTCCTCCAGGCGAGTTTTGGTTGGGCTTGGAGAACATCCACTCGCTCTCCAAACAAGGCCAGTACGTCCTGCAGGTGGAGCTCTCTGATTGGGCGGGAGAGCAGCAGCAGCGGGAGGCTCGTTATCGATTCCAACTTGAAGGAGAAGAGAAGAAGTTTGCTCTCCACCTGGAGCAGACGTCTTCATCTGGGGCTCAGGAGAACATGACAACCGCAGAATCCGGTCTTCCTTTTTCCACCGCCGACAGAGACAACGACCTCGCTGCAGATGTAAACTGTGCTGAACTGCTCTCAGGTACGAAACCTCAACACATTCAAACTGTCTGGAGTGGCTTAATACCACGAATAATCAGAACGAAACAAAAATGTTGCTATAAAAATGCTCTTCTTGTGTTGCAGGTGGTTGGTGGTTCAGTAGTTGCGGCGAGTCAAACCTCAATGGCAGATATCCCAGAAGGCCGAGCGTGCTCAGACGGCAGCGGTCCAGAAGACAAGAGATGTTCTGGTCGTCCACAAAGGGACAAAGCCACTCTGTGAAGGCCACGCTTCTGAAGATCGCACCCGCCACAATAAAACAATAAGCAGATCAGTCTGCCTGAAACAGCAGAGGACCAAAGAAAACACGACTCTATTTAATACTAATTAATGATCTCTCCGAACAGGATCATCACATATTTCTATGCTGTGCCATACGATCAATAAGTGTCACAGTGGACATGTTCAGTCATATTGACAGTTGTTTATTCCCTTTATAAGGGCTTCTTGAGCTTTTTTTGTAATACTTACTGCATGTGTTTTCAGTAGTTCTACAGTTTATTATCTACATCATTTATACAACATTTTATATTTCATTTATATGAAGTGGATGAGAATAAAGTTTTTTGAAAGTTTAATAAGTCTTGGTTCTTTCTTCTTGCTTGAAGGCATAACAGCAAACTTCTTCTCAATAAAATGAAAAACCATACAAAGAAACATTTTACACTTCAAGTTCTTCAAATGACCGTCTACGTACATGTATGAGTTACGCATTTCATAATGAGTCTATATAAAAAGGTCAAAATAAACCACAAACTGTACATGATTATATTGAAAACAATGCCTCTTACTGGAGAATCCTACATCTGTGGGGTGATGTAAATAAACACAAATGTAAATGAGCCGTTTGTAGATGGTTAACATGAGTCGCTTGAAATCTGATTTTGAATGAATGCTCTTCAGGGCATTCTTTATTACGTTACAATATTTGGCACATTGTGATGTTTGTTTAACATATTGGACAAAGGGGTTGAAAATAGTTTCTTTTAAACTACTGCTCCCTGCTGGGGAAATGAGAAAGACCACCGATGTGTTCAATTAAGAGACAGAAAGCTCACAAGTGTATTTTGTATCAGGATGAGATTAATGGAACAGTCGATCTCTCTCTAAATATGTTTCTTAAGAGGATTTTCTCACTTTGTTATTAATGTGAAATGGCTTGCTGGGCCTGTGTTTTACTTCTGTGCAATTTCTTATTTATATAGAAATAAGTCTTCTTGCTGCATTAGGGTGATTCGTATTTTTTGATTTGGAGTTAGTCATTTTGACTTTTGTCCATGTTGACCAGAGTTGTGCTCATAAGCCCCGTGAATGTATCCATTCCGTTCATGAATCTAACATTTCATTGAGTTTGGTGTAATTGGTTTATGTTGTCATTTTCATCTCCTTTCCCCTAAACTCAAACATCAGAAGGCCTCACACTGTTTATCTACCAACTGCCTGAACCGTCAGAGGAATCTTCAGATATTTTACCAAAAAAAATTACGTTTAAAATACTTTAAAAAAAACAAAAAACGTTTACTTTTCATTTGGTGACAAGACTTTTGGGGGGGAAAAGAAAAAAAAAAAAAAAGTCCACTTCAGTTTATTTCTACATTATCTGAGTACATTTAACCATGAACAGGTGACGGTAGCTCATCTGACAGATGTTCATCAGACACATGCGTAACAAGGCATTTTATTGTCGTAGGTCCTCAGACAGATTCCCTGATTTAAACTATACGAGCAAGGCACCTCAGACTGCTAACAGTTGTGTCATACATCATCTCATAGGTCAGTTTGTTGGCACCAAGGTAAATATATGTAATATGTGCAAAATTCCTCAGCAGCAGCAGAAGAAAAAGAAGCTCCCCACAGAATTTAAGCAAGCGAGTGAGCGAGTGAAACAGCAACAGGTCGCTACATAGTTCCACCTTTTATGAATGCATAATAATTCATACAAATATGGTTTAACACTAAGCAAAAAAACAAATGTGGCATGTGATTTTTTTTCTGGTCGATCTGGCAAAGTGTGGCACAGCACATAAGAAGTATTTTATGATAGCACGTGAGGGCACAGAGTATACGACAAGGGGGCTTGAGAGCTTGTATACTCTTATAGAGCTCTACGTTTGCTAACATCACTCCAGTGTTTATTCACAGACACAGGACGACGATCATCAGTCGGCTCCCAGAAAAACGTGAAAGGTGAGAGTTCAATAAAAAAAAAGGAATTGTAAGAAAAAGAGACAGTAAAACAGAGCTGCTGGTCCACTTCTGTACTTGTTGCATTGCTGACAAAGTTCTGTCTAAACATCAATTAAGTTTTTTATAGACCCCGTTTGTTCAGGAGCAATCCAGCAGATTTCCCTACACTGTAAAATAGAGTTTAGACTCCACGACTTCTTTCTCAGGGAGTGACTCATTCATGGTGATGCTTCTAAAAACTGTAAATTAATCTCGTCATTTATTGATGCTAAAATGCTTCAGCACCGTTAAGACTGACGACACAACTCTTGAGGTGTGATGAGGTATGGCATAGCTTGCAGTCAGCGTAATATCATAAAATCGAGAGAAAGGAGAAGAAGATGCAGGTTTAAATAAATGGAAGAAAGGGAAAGAGGAGACAAGGAGAGGAGGTTAAGGTCAGTGTGTAGCGAGGCTTATCAGAGGTTCTGCTGGAGGAAGTGCAGCAGTGTAATCTCGTAATGTTCTCCGGACTCTGGACATCGGATGCTGTGTCGCTCGTTGGGGTAAATCTGGAAAAACAGAAACAAAAAAACCCCACATCCAATAATCAAGGATCAGCAATTTCTTAACTTTTGCGAAGCCTATCTTAGTTTGAAATACTGGAAAAACTGGAGAAGCTTCCAGCTGCTGTCTTGTTTTAGTTCATTAAAGAACGAAGAGACACAAGGACGAACAAGACGCGACATAACAGGTTGTCCTTCACATCTTTTCTGCTAAACTCACTTAAATGTGCTTTGTAATGTGTTGTGGGATGAAGGCAAAAGGCATTGGCTCATGACAAAGTTGTTCTTTGTACAAGTGTTGCTGGAGTTTCGGCCTCCTTAGACTTTATTAAAAACAATAGATTCGGACTCGGTTGCAGATCTTTCTCACAGACTCCACTAAAGTCAGTATGAATAAGTGAACCCTCTTACCTGCAGGTTGTAAGGCTTTCCTGCCCGGATGAGCTGAGACACCAAGAAGTTAGTGTGAAAAAAGTGCACATTCTCATCTAGGAACCCGTGCAGGATCAGCAGTCGGTTGGGCCTTTGTTTGACAGAGAGACGCAACTCTTAGTTTCTTTGCTATTGTTCACATATAAACATGTAGGATGAATTAAACTGATACCAACAGGAATACAGAAACTAAATCAAATTGTGCACTTTGACGTCTACTTCTAACTTCAACCTACAAATGATCAACAATCTGTGTTATTTTGTGACATTAACTGTAAAAACCAGCCTTGTTGGACAAAGGTGGCGGCTGACAGAAGGTGCCGTATAACATGATGTAATAATAGGACTGCTCTCACTCATTGGGGAGTTTGTCGACGTGCAGGGCGACAGAACAAGCCTCGTATCCCTTCTGGTTTTTCTCAGGTGTGTCCAAATATCGCTCTGTGTAACCGGTGTCATAGGCCATCCACAACGTCACTGGAGCTCCCGCAATGGCAACCTGAAAAAAAACACAAACAGGAAGTCAAACAGAAGAAGTGTAAAATCTAATTGAATCATGACCTCAAAACTGAAAGTGAAATTGAATAATGGATTGGGAGAATTATGACACCCCTAGTCCACTGAAAGTGCTCGTGTTCGCCATGTCGGGCTGATTGGAAGAGTCTGATATTATGGAAAGAGTCTCGCTCAAGGAGGAGTCTCATTCTGAAAGCTCGCAGAACTTGGTATTTCTCTGTAGGGTCCTTTCCATTATGTTGTCAAACGCAAACAAGCACTTTTAGTGGAAGTAACGTGATATTGGTGCTACTCACTTGACCTCGCAGATTTTTTTGTAGCTGCCGGTACAACAGTACCCCTCAATACTGGATATTTAAAAAAAAAAAGAAAAAGGTCCCTATAGGTCCCTTAGACCAAAAAACATGGACAATAGGGTCCAAGTTAGCCTTTAAGTCTCATACTCACTTACTGCACAACCTTTAGCATGATGAGAGAGTAAACGTTAGTGGCATTCACCTTGAAGATGTCCGGTTTGTGGATGAGGCCCATTAGGGAGAGGAAGCCTCCGTATGACCAGCCATGGATGGCAACACGACTCAGGTCCACAAACTTGTACTTTTCAGCCACGTAGTGTAAACCCTCCACCTGGTCGTCAATCTCCACCTGACCCTGATTGGAGGAGAACAGATCGGTCACTCACCGGGCATTACAATACACACATTTACTTCTACTACAAGTTTAAAAAGGGCTAAAACAAATAAACTGTAAATAAAATAAAGTGACTTAATCTCACATTTACATTATATGTGACTTCTAACAACATAACTACAAGCTGCATATGTTATCATATAGTAACGTGGTCATAAAACACCAACTGTCATTATCAGTAAATAACTACATTTCTTCTCTAAATACTTCTTTAAGAGTAAAACATGTAAATAAAACACTCTGTTCCTTCCCCTGCATGAGTCTTTAATGTGTTAACTACCATTTTGTCCTTCACAGCTCCTTCAAACTTGAGTCCGCGCTGACAGGAGCCTCGTCCATCGATGACCAGCACAGCGTAGCCCAGAGAAGCCAGCGTGCTCAGACGCAGGTACTTCACTCCTTTATAAGAGTTATTCACTAACTGGACCTGGAAGAAAGAAAACAAACAAACATGGTTACAGCAAAAAAAAAACGAGGATGATGATATGATGAGAGAAATATTGCATTTTACCATTAAAATGTAATTGAAGTATCAAAAGTAAACCTCTAAGTGTGCATGACATGACTCTACTGTGACAGTGGGGGAGATCAAACCTGCGGGCCACCGTAAACAAAGACGACAGTTGGATGCTTCCTGCCGGGGACCAGGTGGTGTGGTTTGTACAACATGCCGTACAGCTCGAAGCCCGACTGCCCCGTGAAGCTAAAGATCTCTGGAGGAGTGGAGTCGGAAGGAAAACCTGGAAATATACACAAGTCTGAACATTAACTTGGTTTAAATCGGTGGATACGAGTGTAATCTCAAACCGGTGATAGGGGATAAGAAACTGTCACAGCTGCCACACAATATTTTATATGTTGTAAACAAACTGTTTTTAGTACCAGAGGACTCCATCATGCTCGCCCAAAACTGAGGCTCTTTGTGCAGCGGGTCGTCGTCTGAGCCCTGCAGCTTGTAGACGTGCACACAGGGTGCTGTGGTCAAGCTGCTGTAATGGCTGACGAACATGTCAAAGGTCTGTATGGAAAAAAGAAAATAAATCACACAAAACAAGGTTAAACTGCATCCCTTATAATTTATATGTCTGCTGACACCTGAATACAGGATCACAAATTGACATCGTTTTAGTTTTTCTTAATTAAGGTTATGCTCATGGTATTTTCAAAGCCGATGCCAATACATTTATTTTGAGGGTGCTAATGGGTGATATTTTGTGCCAAATTTATAAATAATGTTATAATATGATTGTGTCAGAAACAGGAGTGAAATAGCCTCTGAACACTTTTAACACACAAGGAATTAACAAATAAAAGTACAGTTTTATGTCTGTTTGAGGTTCGTAGAAATTAACATTCTAGTTAATTGCGGATGTGTTGTCCATGAGGGTGCATGGGCTGTGTGGCGGGTGTATGATTTATGTGTATTTGAATGAGGTTGGAGTTGGTCCAGGCATCACTGATGGTACATACCTGGCTCACTGAGCAGCTGTGGGAGAAGCCGGATTTGGTGAGTCGGACGATTTCAGCCGGCGAGTCGTAGCTCACAACATAGAGGTGATGCTCCAGAGGAGAGTCTTTGGTTCCCTGAAAGTAAACCAGCTTTGCTGCCTCGTCCACCCAAATCTGAGGACTTGATGAACGCTGAAAAAAACAAACAAAAAAAAAAAAAAAAACACAGAGCTAGAAACAGTATTTGTCTGTTTTGTAAAGAAACAAACAAGAAAAGAAAAAAAATCAACATCCTGTTTTGAAGTAGTGCTTTTTCATTAGTTTGCTGTAGTTACAGTACATAGCTGTTCTTTACTACCTGCAACTGACAACTACATAAAACTACTCTTGTTGTTTTTGTGAAATTTCCAAATTATTAAGGCCTCATAAAAATATAATTTATTTAACATCTTGATGCAGGAGACCCGAAGAACGAACCCTAGAACCGTTAACTCTGCTCATGTCATACATACTGCACATCAAGCAGAGCATCTCAAATGTTATGTGAAACTCAGTGTTCTGATGAGAAGGTGGTTCACTTGTGCTGCTCTGGAACGGATGCAGTTAAACGTCAGCCACCTTGAACAGATATGTGGGCGGGGCTTTACCTTCGATCCGTGATTGGCCAGCACCTCCCACTCCCCGCAGGTTATGGTGACCTCCTCTTTGACTGGACACTTGAAATCATCTGGTGAGAGAAGACAGGTGCATCAACGGACTTGTTTTACAACAAAGGAATCGTTACATTACTTTTATCAATATCACAGTACTGAGCCAGCACCTCTCAAGAGTAAGAAATTACCTTTTAATGAATGCTGACGCAGGCATGTGTACAATTCTTGTGCTACTGGATAGAAGTGCTGCCTGTGACACAATTGATCCCGACATGTATATGGTCCCTTTGTGCGATGTCATCCATAGACATGGTATCTCTTTTCATTGTTATGCAGATGACACATTTGTTTTAGGACTGATTTAAGATCTTGTTGATACATTTGAAGGCTCCAGAATATATTTTTGACCTTTAATCTCATTGCTTGTGGTGCCTCATGGAAACACAGATATGTTGAAATGAGTCAATGAGTTCAGGATTGGTTTATAATAATAAAACCAAAACTGAAATAAGTCCGCAAAACAAAAACTACAACAGACAACCGATTACTCAAGATTACACTGAAACGAAACGGGCAAAAATGAGACCAACAGAATAGAAAGTCTGAAACGTTGTGGCTCATATATTTGAAAACCAAATCAAAATGTTTTCCCCAAACTGATTGAATAAATTGGGCTTTTGGAGTTAATAAGTTGGTATGGTATCGTGTGGTTGGGTTAAATTATAGACCAAAACTACAAGGTGTTGTTTTTTCACAAAAAACTATAAATATTAATTAATACATGCTCGTCACTAAAGTCAAATGAAGTAAAGATACCTTCTAGGGGGACAGTTTGTCTGGTGCACCTGAACTGTGAATGTGCTTGTGGAAGGCGTTACCTTCAGAGTGCACGTATCCTGTGGCCCAGTTGTAGCTGCCCTGCTGTAACACTGAGGTGATCTTATACAGGTGACAGAAACCGGTTTTTGATTCATTTACTGCTATGAAGCTGATCTCATCATCGCTGGTTTGGATGAACGGGTGGAAGATGTCGTGCACCTGAAAGACAAATCATGATGTGTTTTTTTCCACTGAAGACTGCACTATTTTTGCAAGATTTTAGAACGATGTGGTGCTGGGCCTCACGTTGATCCAGGTGTCGCTGGTCTCCTGGTAGATGATGAAGGGATGGACGGTGTCTCCGAGGGCCTCTAGGCTCTCCTGCCTGTTGGCTCCCTCCTGATGTGCAGGGATGAAGAGCGCTGGAGGCAGCAGGACCAACTGGAGACGCTGCTGCCGTCGCTCCATCATGACCGCCCACGCACTGACACACAGAAAGAGGAAGAGCTGTGAGGCACGTGCAGCATAGGGACTCCATGTTACTACATTTTTTCTTTTGGAGCATGGCAAAGTTTAAAGACTACGAGTGGTGGTTTTAAAGTTGTGTTTTCTAGGTTTTGGAGAGAGACAAAAAAAAAAAAAAAAAAAACATACTATCTGCCGTCTTTTGTCCATCCGGCTCTGGTGATATATTCAGCACTAGGGAACAGGCTGGTGAAGGGAACAGGCAGCTCCTTCTCCTGCGTGCTGACAATCTGAGGGAGAAAAAACAAGAAGCTGGCATTTGAACTTCTCTCTGATGAACTTTCTGGTAAACTATGTTTTATGGCACTGAACAAGCACTTACTTTGCCAAGACTGTCTGTCCGGATTTCTGCTATTTTGAGATTGATCTCCGGATTCTTGCTGCCTGAACACAAAACAAAACTGAGTTGCGTATCAACATAAAAATCCACACGATACCTTTCTGCTATAACTCTAGACTTCTGTTAATAAGTCATGCTATATTGAATGAGCTACACAACATACATGCACAGAGTTTTAAAAAGTACCCCGTGGAGTTTTTGACCTGTAGCTCTCTAGAGCAGTTTTCTTAACATACTAAGACACCAGCACTTCACCAAAGTCAAGAAAACTCCAAGAGCATCCTTAAAAAAAATTGCCTGCTGCATTTTTCTTTTTATCATACAAAACCAGGAAACAACAAATGCAAAATGTATAAATCAAAAGCTGTGTGTGTGTGTGTGTAGTGTACCTGCGCGTGGGTATCTGTAGACGTCGGTCTTACGCTCTTCCAAAGCCGGAGATGGAACATGGATGATCTCAACTTCAGACTCGTCCACTTCCTCGTAAAGAATCTGTAGAGTCTTACCACCATCTGATTCTGAACCAGAGAGAAACCAGTAAAAACAGTAAAGGACGGTTTTGTTTACAGGACTAAACTGCCAGCCGGTAGGTATCGGAATCATTTGAAAACGTAACACAGGTGAAGTCTCATATGAATAAACTTGTGTTATTTAAGTATCGAATAATAATAATCCATCTTCATTTGATTGCATCCTTGCTAAGAAAACTGCGACAGCAATCTATGCCTGTACTTCTCGCTCACCTTCACGAGCAGCTGGTGACCACCAGTATCCAGTGAAACGGTCAAACTCTTCCTGCGTGACAAAAGTGGCAACACCGGCAGATTTGGGGTCGTCTTTTGGGTTATCAATGCCTAAGAGAAAAATAAAACGATGTGTGAAAACTTCAAAGCACCAGGTAAGACTCTCCAGCAACACCCGACTGTCTCCATCCTGACCTTTGTGGCAGAAGGTGAGCCTCCTCTCTTCCCCCGTCTCAATGCTGGTCACCCAAATGTCATTGTTGTTGATGAAGCCAATGAAGTTGGGGTCCCCGGGGCAGATCTTGGGGTCCATGCGTGTGCCTGAACTCTGGCTCTTAATTTCAACAGGCTCCATGGGAGAAGTCTGCACAGACGGAGAGGTTGAAAGACATCTGAGGTCACAGCTGCTGTAGTTGCACACTTTGTCATTAACAGACGGAAAAGATGTAAAAAAAAAAAAAAAAAATCAGACCAAGACGAGGATGTTTCAAACCAACAGTGATATTTCAGAGTGCAAAAAAATATGACCACATATCAGATAGGCTAGGGCGCTATCTAATTGTTCATACATTTCACTGAGGTATATGGTAGATGAAAGAAATTGTCTAAAAAACTAAATTCTGTGTCGAATTAGCCTTTTTAGACATGTCTTGCTGGGTTTAAATACTTATGGAACATAGAATAGATAGGAAAGAGAATGACACTTTCTTTTTTTACGAGTCCTGTAATGTTATACCAACTACTCGCAGTCGCCATCTTTCTCAGCTCAGCTGCCTGTTTAACCAGTAGAGACCGACCTCTAGTGGTGCCAGCTGTGATCATGAATACATCACCTCAATGCAGCTTCTCCATATTATAGAAAGAGGAGGCCCCGCATTTTTGACTATGTGGAAGATCATACCGTCGGGATTTCTAAACACCCCTGGTACATTGTAATACCTCGATACCGTCCAAGCCTAATATCAGACTGGTATTGTTTTTAATATAATGCCACTTTTCTGTAAAAACATGTCTATCCGAATTAGGTGATTTTTGGATCAAGTTTTACCTATTCAGGTTGAGAACATTCTCCCACTTCTTCAGCAAAATATGCAAATTCAAATATTAGAAAAATACTTAACCTCACAGCAGAAAACAAAAATGATAAAGATCCCCTATTTTTGGTTAAGAAAGAATTCTGACTAAAGCTGAAGCAATTTTCTGACATTTCATGGAAATAAAAAGATGTTTTAACAATGAAAATAACAGCTGGTTGCTGTTCCGAATTGTGTCTATGTGGTGTAAAAACTGAGGGGGAATTCTACAGTTGAAAAATAAACGTATCAGTGCTCCCTAGTGGACAAACTGTGTAATAATGAAACCCTGTTTCCAAATGACCTCAACCATATCTTTGCCATTTCTGTGATGTCACTACTTGCATATGACAAATATGCCAAAACAGATACATCTGTTCAAGCTAATAGACCTTGATATTGTCCTTTTAAGCCTTCTTAGTCATACTGAAAGTCTTGCTTTATTATCCTTTAACTCACAGTGAAGCTGTTGTTTCCGCCGTCACGGCAATAGTACAGATTGCTGTTGGCCTGGAACAGGAAGAGGCCGCTGGGTCGGTGGTAATCATAGGAGGTGATGCCAGACACCCCCAAGCGTTTCCTCTCTCGCAGCAGCTCCTCCTCCCGCGAGAAGCCCCCGTGGTGAGGGCTGGCCTGAGGTCAGGGGTGACAGGAGGACACACAATGTGACAATTCTGGCCCGAGCGAGGTCAAAGTCGAAGATGGCATGGAAAACAAACAGACGGTAAGAAAACATTACCAGACTTAATTTAAGAGAGAAATGCTATGTACCAATCAATAGAACCTCTCATCTGCTCTCTCTTCAGCAAAAACAACTTCCATTTATGAAATCAAGTGGTGGAGATTATTTAGTCTTTAGGGGAAGATTTACAACAGTAGTTTTAAGCGCCATGAGGAAAGACGCTCTTATGAAAAGGAGTGGTTCATAATCATACTCTCAACAATAATCCTCGTTTAAATCTGGTTCGGATAGTCACATTAAAGTGTCAGAGTGGGCTAAAAATCCTTCTCACCTGAAAGCGATCCAGCATCTTTTTCCATGACAAAACCAATAGAGCCTCTTTGCGGATCTTCTTGGGAATGTCTGAGTAGAGCAAAGCGTTGTCCCTGCTGGCGTAAGGCATTCCTGTGAGAGCAGAGACGCTTAGTCAACAACCGAGCGACCATGTGTACGGGTCCTACGAGAATCTCTGGAAATGCTATCACACGCTACATCTAACTGATTGAGAGCAAAATGGTGTTCCTGTACGAGTTATCTGCCTGAAGATGAATACATATTCCAACAAACTGTGACAGGTTCCAGCTTTCAGGTACCCGAGCTCACCAAGGTAGTACATGCGGTGGGAGTGCGGACTCATCTCGTCCTTCTGGATGAACTGGAAGTCGTGTGGCGCCTTGTTGATGACCACGCCCGTGTTCTTGCGGCTGTTGTGGATGATCTTCCGCAGGCCGTCCCACGTGTGCTTCTCCACCTGGAACTGGGTGGGATTCACATCCTCCATCTCCACCACCTCTGTGCTGTCCGAGAGCTCGTCCACCCCGGTCATGCCTGCAAGTGCGTGCCTGATGCTGTGGAAGGAGCTCGGACTAATCAGATACAGCTACAGTAAATCACAACGGGGAAGTAACACTACAAACATGTGTATATCTCTGATTGAGGACGGTATATTTTACCTAACGAAATGAGACGTTCTGACAGAAAACAGCCTATGTATTGGTCTACTAATCATATAATGTAGGTGTTGGACAATGTGGTCAAAACATATTAAAATAAATCTTTTAATGTCACTTGCCAAGCTAGCAGCGCGGCACTATGGATGATCTGTTGAATAGTGTTTGACTGATTAAGCGTTTTGGCCGAGCGTGGCCACTCCAGCCATAAATGTGTGACAGACTTTGAATTACACTTTTCAATGTAGACTACATCAGAGATTATGTTGTCAGAAAACAATTCCCGACTCCACAAAAACCTTTCGAGCGATTTGGCGTTCTCTCTTCCAAATAATCCAGCAATGCAACAATCCAATTGCACACTTTAGGGTCCTCCTCAACCCGGGAACACGCCCCAACATAATGGTTTGTAAGAGTGGCTTTTAACAATGAGACGGGACATGCAACATAAGTAACAGAAGCTCTGCGAGGAGAGAGAGGCAGCGGGGGAAAAAAAACAGTGTGTCGATAAATTAAGGGTTTATTTCAACACACATGTACTGCCCCGACGGAAAAGAGATGTTCAAATTATAACATTATCATGATGTGTTCAATGGAAGTCTTGTAAAATGTAGTTTTTGCCGTTGTTTGAAGGATACGTTTTCACAGCAATATATAACACATAGAGATGGAATTATGACCTGTTTACCTTCCTAACACTAGCTCTAAGCTGCTTTTAATACATCATCAAATCTACCCATGTCAATATCTGACATGAGTAGATTTGATGGTTTACACTGACTTCAGGACAGTCGAGGGAGAAACAAAGTTAGTCTGGTGCTTTGCTGTAAATTATAGTTCTAAGAAAGAAAATCGGCTTATTGGTTGGTCCACAAACTTAAAAAAACCTAAACGGAATCAGCCAAGAAAATTGCAATCTGTGCACCTCTGCAAGTTTTTTTTAATGAAATCAAAATTTAGGAAATTAAAAACAAATAAACATGGTTCTGACAGCTGTGGGGTTGATTGTCCCCTACCTTTCCTGGCCGTCTTCTGTTTTGTCTTCAGTTTTCAGCCTCTTTGCTCTGTGCATGAACCGTTCAACGACCCAGGACAAGCACTGACACCCTGTGGGAAACCAGGTGAACACGTAAGAAGTGAAGATGTCAAACAGATAACACAAATTACACATCGTTGCATGGCAGCACCTGCTCCTGCTGACAAACAGATCATTTTAACAGTGAAAACCTAGACGATGCCTTGAGCTAAGCTCCTATGATGTACACAGTGAATCTTGTTACTGAAGTGAGGGCCCTGGAGGTCTCTGTGCTGCTTCATCGTGGAGCTGCCACTCTTCAGCCGACCACACTCACAGCTGTGCGTTCCCGATATGCGGTCTCATTGAGTGCGACTCAGCTGCACGGTGCTCACACTTCAACGTCTGTGTCATAACTGTGGCAAATGTTACACTGTCCCTCCACATTTTACTGTAGGCCGGTCCGTTGGCCTGGGCCTGGAATGCAAATTCTTCACAAGTTCATTCCCAGAAAACACAACAGCCGGTCCCTTCAACCAAATCATGTCTGACAGAGAAACAAATACAGTATTTGTACATTTGACGTGACTTGATTAGAGTGAATGATACAAGGAAACATTCTTCATTCTCCCTAATATACAACCACCTCTTATCACGTGACTGAAGATCCAGGTGACGTGACAACTGTTGATGAAGGCTGTGAGATGGTTTAATGCTCCACATAAATCTACTGAATGGGTTTCAATCTTTTAAAGCAAATTACTAAAAAAAGATGATTTTTCTCAATTGTATTCTACTTCATGGTAGTCATCTCTTTAAGATATAAATTATATTTTAATGTGTTTAGATTTATTAAAAAACGCTTTGGATTGTCTTTGTGACCATTGACTCTGTTCAGCCTGAAAGATGAGGCCATGAATAAATATTAGAGAATAACCAGTGAGATACTAATTATTCTCGATTGTTTTCCCACGTAGTTTTGTTTTGTAAACACAACTGTGTGGGCTTTTTCAGAGAAACAGCAAACAGTGTTTTAATCGAAAGCAAAAATAAACTTCAAAGGGATAAAGGCTGAATCACTGTTGATAACGTCTCAATGTATTCTCCCCGTCTGTGCCACATATAGACACCTCACTATTTAAACATGTAACCTTATATCTCTGGCATCATCGTCTCAGCTTGTATGTTTTTAAGCATCCATGTTAAATCATCAATTTTGTGACAATAAAGTTTCGTTTTTTGACACATCCGCTAACGTTAAAGATGCTAAAATCCACACAGCTTCTGACCACACGCGCACACACACACAGTGTGTCGTCCCCATCCAACATGACCATAATTAAGCTATAACTGACATCCTGTTAACCTTATAGCTCTACGTCGCTTGGAGCTAGCCAGTTAGCCGCCCATTACCGCTAAACAGGCTAACGTACCAAAACAGGAACACATCTAAACAGACAACATTCATTCCTTTGTAGCTTACACTTTCTGCCCCAAAACCTCGAAAGCTGTTCTCTTTCTGTCGAAGTAGCATCCGTATAAATACAACGGTCCGGATCTAAATAAATTACAGATTTCAACTAACGATACTTTCCAAAGAGATGGTAGCTTAATGCTAATATGCGTACAACGCGGAAATAGCTCGAGAAATGACGATTACGACCTGTGACCCGGATGTTGTATTCCGTTACACTACAGTGTAGAAACAGCTTCTTTTTTTTTTTTTTACATCAGAAATAACCCAAATAAAAGTCTGTGGGAATAAAAAACATATTAATTAATTAATTAATCTCTGGTCCTTTTTTAAAACAACACCTGAATACTGGTGGGACTCAGTTTGTTTAAACCGTAATTGAATCTCAGAAAAGATACCAATGACTCCTATTTTAGCGTAAAGGCAGCAACTAATGATTTATTTCATTACTGATTAATGTGACAATTATTTTCTCTAATAAATAAATCGTTTAGTCTTTTTTTTTTTTTTAAATGTTAAATGTCCATCGCAGTTTTTATGAGCAAATGTCTGGTTTTCTTTGATCATCAGTCCACTTAGAGACACTTAATTTACAATATATTACACAGAAAAGCAGCATATAGTAAAATTGGAGATGCAGGATCCACTACATTTTTTGTTGGTGTCATTTTGCTTGAAAACCACTCTTCCAAACAATGAATCATTCAATAGATGACGATTAATTTCCTATTAATCTACTAATTGTTTCAGCTTTACTTTGCAGGTCTTCCACCAAAACACCAGAAGCAAATACATCCACAACCAAATACAAACATCTAGGACAAGCACTGTATCCTTAAAACATTTATTTTTGTAATAATTTGTCCTTTTTTTCTTTTTGCGTAAGTGCAAAAAATGCACCCAAAAGAGCCACCTGAGGGAAGTCTACATCTTTAAATAAAAAAACAAGCAAAGTGTACATTTATAGTACAAAATTCTCTTTTTAAAAAATTGCACAGTTTGTGTATAATATATATATTCATAATCTCCATTTTAAACAAACTTTAAAGGCTCAGAAAGTAAACAATATCCACCAAATGAAAAATAAAAACATTTTTCCCTAGAATTTAAAGCTGAGGAAACTTGAGACCCTGTTTTCATTTGTGTCCACCATAAATATACATATTTATATGCAAGTCTCTTTACATATAGTCTCTGTGCTAGTGTTTGAACAGACAATCAGAATTATTGCAAAGTAGTTTAGTTCTACTATAAAACATGGGGTGGGGGGGTAGGGGATAAAAGCTTCTCTGCTGAATGTTCATTAAGTTATGCAAACAAAACCTGGGTTTCTTTAGACCCCTTTTGAATTTACTAAAGTTCCTGCTTTCACAAACTGTGTGCATTCAACAATCCAGAACTCCAGTTATGCTTTTTAGCGAGAACACACATTTCCCTGACTTCTTTTTTTTTTTTCAGTTGAACTTTACACAGCGGCCCTGCCCAGTGGGATGGGGGGGGGGGTCAGCGTCGATACGGGTGGAAGCCCTGTATGTTGTGGTTCTGCCCTCTGCCGAACGCGGTGGCAGCAGTCTGGGGGCCGGGGGCGGGCTGTGCTGTCGGGGCCCCGTACGAAGCCGTCGGCTGGCTGGGGTCTGCGAAGCTGTGACTGAAGGCTGTCAGGTCCTGCCCGTACCCTGAGGACCACAACAGAGAGGAGGAAGCAGGAGGAAGAGAGGAGGAGTTTAATGTCAGAGTCACCAGACGCTGTTTAGGGAGAAGCCTTATGCCATTAAAAGTACTGCTAAGTAAAAAACTATTTTAATCTTAAAAGAATACTTCACCCACAAAATGATCATTTGCATATCAATTACTCACCCCATGTTACCTTGAATGCTTGAAGAAAACGTTGTCTACTAAACTATTATATAACAAAAGTCCAAATCTCATTTATCCAGTGCTCAGTACTTCCTAAACACGTGCATTTTTGCTAAGATCATATTGTTATAGTGCACGAGTTGTGCAAGTTGGTAAACAAATGTCTTGATGTCTTAAAGTAAATAATATAGTTTTGCATTCAACAACCAACTTTTCATTTTTTAATTCGTAGTTCATTATCGAGGCATGCAAGAAAAGGTTTGTTCAAGAACTCAAGGTAACACGGGCTCCGTAACTGATATGAAATGGTCATTTGGTAGGCAGGTTAAAAATCCACCTTTTACTATACAATCCAATCGTTAGTTTTCTTTTAACAACAATTACAGGTGCTACTGCAGCTGTTTGAAGTGTTGGTACGTCACAACGATCATCATCATGCTGCCTTCTTGTTCCACTTTTACCACTTTATAACCCATGGGGTAGAATAGACAAGTTTAACAGGCTGTCTTGTTTTATGAGCTTTTTTTATTTTTACTTTGTTCAGTAATTCAATCTTTTAATTGTTTGTCAATGAAGGGATCTGAGATGTGTTTGTGATAAAGTGCTATATACATACATTAACTGACACACCAAACGACTTAATAGATTAAAAAAAAAAATGAAATATGCATTTTGTAAATGATGTTAAGGCTTTAAAAGTTTATTGGTGGATTTTTTTCTCTAGATTGAAATACTGTATTCCTTCAATGAGCCCTTTAGTGTTGAACATTATTGTGCAACATTGTTAAAATGTATAGCTAATTAAATAAACACTTAAAGGGGGCTTCATTGAGGAAAACAATCTCTTGATTCTCTTGATGATTAGTGCAACACGCATAATGTTCTTCTATTCAGACACTGGATGGCAGCACCACTTGGCAAACAAACAAGGGAACCAAAGTGACACCTGGGGAAGGAAACTAACCAACTAAAGGCTGGTGCAACCCAAAATTCACCAGCCACCGTCAAAGTCAGAAGGACATTAAAGTTAAAAAAAACTGAGGGGTTTGCTACCAAATGGTAGAATATGGAAACCAGCTGCAGCCAAATCTTTCCAGCGTCTTGCTGGTTAATTTCCTGCCCTGGAATCATCCAGTCAGCACTGATTTTGAAATGTCACCGATTAATACTGGAGTGGAGGAACTTTTAAATAACTAGAATGGAAAGACAAGAGCCAGAAAGAAAGAAATAAGGTGAGAAAAGTTAGAAAATACCACTTATTTTTGGGGTGTTCAACGTGCTCCATGAACGGAACAAAAATAAGAAATCTGAAGAACAAGAGCAGTCCCAACAGGACCGCTCGACAGAAGAGAGAAGAGAAGTGAAATTGTAAATTTACTGCCATCGTCTCCTTCTTTAAATCTTCTTTCCTTTCTCATCCCTTCAGCTATAATGTGGAGACAGTACATGGGGGGAAAAGACAATGATTGAATGGACTGCTGATGCATAGAGACAACTGAACCATGAACACATTTTCTGACAATTAGATCATCCTTTTATAATCTGCAAAGCAATGCGGACAGAGAGACTGGACAAAAAAGGAGGACATGGTTCTTCTTGGTATAGTAAAGCTACAGCCGCTGAGGGAGAGACGACTGCTTAGAGCTCTGGATGCCAAATTTCAACGTAAATGTATTGTAGTATGTATCAGCTAGCAGTCGTGGCTGTGTTTTACTATACAAGAGTATACACAGTAATTTGTATGTACATGCAAAATGTACATGCAAATACAAAACACAGAGCAAAAGAAAAGAGGAAAGAACCAGGTTGCAGCTCTATAAACACTACAGTACTGAACAAATGCGACTTTTGTGGTTGAGAAGACGATGCTGGCACCTACCTGCACTATATCCTCCCTGCTCATCCTGACCATAACTGTGAGAAGGACGCGTTGGTCCGTAGGCAGAGGGGTCCTGAAGGTAGTTACCCAAGCCTATCAGGGAGATGAGGAGACCAGGTTGACTGAACCCAGATACTGCTGGCCAACTACATAGTCCCCCCCCCCCCCTCACTGACCTGACAGAGCTGCACACTTATACCCAATTACTGCATCTGCACTACGCTCTGAGAGGCATCACTGCTCAGCTTCGTCCTGAAGTCAAAACAAAATGGAGTGCGAGTGTGTGAGCTATCTGCTAGCATGCCTGACTTTTTAAATCATGCCAGCTTTGGTCCGGGACATTTTGTGAAATGTGCATGATATGCTACGATGCAAGTAACGTAGGAAATATGTTTTCCTACCAAGAAAATGTTATGAAAGTGAAGCAAAAACTAGAAAACTGGTGGTTCTGCATGTTTTAGTCTATAAAATATGACTTCACGTTGCTGATTAACATTTTTTTAAAGAATGACATCATTTTGTAGATTGATTTCCTATTTTCTAAGCCGGCATTGGTCTAGATTACTTTCAGCATGTTGTGACAACCAACTTGATTTATCTTTGTTACTTTTCATCATTGTTTTGTGTCAACCAACCATTTTCAAAACTTTAGGTTACTTGCGTAATCAAAGTTTAATGAGTCCTTGGTGGGTCATTCAAGCAACTTTCTCATCCCAAAATTGTCAGAATGAACTCCATTGATGAGCTATTCTGTTGAAAAAAAATTCTGATCCATAAATCAACATGGGCATAACTAAAGTGAAGCAAAATATGACGCTCTACGGCAGTCAATTCTCAAATTTCCGATGTCACAATGTTCTTGAATGCACCCGAAAGTTTTGACAAAAGAAAATAAACTAAATGTTTATTGTGACACAGTATAACGAGAGCAAAAGCCAGTGCCTGCCTGGAAGGTGGGAATAATTCATAACATATGGTTATGGATTACAAAATGATTGGCCTTGAATCAAATATTTAT